CCCAAAACCCCCAAAACCCCAAAACCCCAAAACCCCAAAACCCCATATTGCTAATCTTTAGATGAAAATGATATATTTTAATAAAATGAATTTGAAAATAATCACCCAGATACCAAAGAAATTTGGAAGTTGGTATGATGCTACCTTGAGAAGAAGACCTCTCCTTACAAGAATGGTTACCACATTCATTATAACTGGAGCTGCTGATTTCAGTAGTCAACTTATTAGTAAGATTTCATCAATTCTTTCTTTAAAAATCAATGACAATATTTAATTTTTGATCCAAATTTTATAAATCATAGGATTCATGGGTTTCAAGTTTAATAATCCCAATAATTTCAACTTCTCCTTCAACATGAATTCTAATAACATAACTTGCTTTAGAGAAGTATCGTAGCGAGCGAGAAGAGAATGAATTGTATCCAATATTTTCGCTGAAGTAAATAAAAACTCCTCCAGTTTTAATTACACATAGATATGCGACTTGTTGTGGGATGATAAATGCCCCCTGGATGCATTTTTATTACACATTACTCATTGACAGAGTTGTGCCTGGTAATTCCTTTGTTGATCCTTAGGTACTGGCACAATTGTTCTTCTGATAAAGTTAGCATGTGATACTTTTCTGTATTCACCAGCTTTCTGTCAGTAAGTCATATCCTTAACCCTAGTTATATGTGCTTCCTGATTGCAAAGCTAAATGGCTCGACAAATAAGGAGGCTAAAAGAAAAATGAGAGAAAATTATTGGCTTACTCAAGTTCTCTCTTGGAAGATATGGCCAATTGCTAGTTTAATTAACTATGCTTTTCTTCCTGTTAGATACAGAGTTTTATTCTTGAATATGGCAAGCTTTTTATGGGCAATACTATTTTGATTCAAAAACTCGAATCCAGGAAGTGGAAAAGGAGATTACAGTGACAAGGATATTGCTGAAGTTGTTGCTAACGCCCCTTAATTCAATATTCCCATGATAGTTTGGGGTTTTGGGGTTTTGGGGTTTTGGGGTTTTGGGG